TGTGCGCTCTCACCAGTTTATCAAGCCGATCGAATTTGGAAATTGCAAATACAAATTTGGTAATACATAGCAAAAAATGGTAATACCATCTAGCCGTCTGATGGCTTGATGGATCGTCTTACCCCCCGACGGCTCGATGCCAAATTTGGTCAAAACAACCTTTTAAGGATATATACGTGATATACCAACTAGTGATGTGATGTGTTAGAGTATAGTATAAATATTTATTTATACCGTATCAATACAATACTCATTTCGAAGTTTATATATCATCCAACATCACTCTATTTTTTACCGTTGTGAAAAATGAGTAAAAAGTCTAAACACAATATTCCTAACACACTTGTTTTTCGAATCAGTTCTCCGACCATTCCCCCCCAAGAGTCTGATGCTTCGCAGACAGCTAGTGTCATCCCTGAAACGGCCAGCATAAATAATATTACTGATACAACGAATGAATTGAGCCAAAGTTATTTCGAAAATAACACTCTTGAGATACAACCAGTTGCAGCTCCAAGTGGAAGACAAAAAAAGAGACAACTTGAAGACGACAATTCTGATAATGGTAATAAGTTTTGTTTTTTATACCTATTAGCAATGATTAATTTTTATTGTAAATAGGTGATATTAATAGGCGGCGCAGAGATTGGAGTCATGCCGAAACGCTTGCTCTTATTGAGGTTGTCAGTTCAAATTGGAAATCACTGAACGGAAAAAGAACGAATGCAGAGAAGGCACGATGTTGGCAAGCAATGTTTGACAAATTTTCAGAACGAATTCAAGGACGTACATTAGGGAGTTTCAAGAAAAGGTATTTTCTTATTTACTATTAATCTAACATGGCTTTATTTGTTAACTGATAATATAATGTTCAAGATGGGCGAGACTGGTAGAAGAATATAAATTGTTTCTGGATAATAACAAGAAAACAGGGGCTGAGCCAATAGAATTTGACTATGAAGAGGAAATGCGGGAAATATTCAAAGACGATCCAGTTTTCAATCCAGTTTATGATACTGAAAGTAGAGAAGAAAAGAATTCAGCGAAAGAACAAAGAGAGAAAAAAAGAAGAGAAAAAAAAGAGAAGCAGCGTGCAGAAGTTCCGACCCTAATAAGGGACTTGCATGAACAGTCTCTGCAACAAACAGCAGAGTTTTATGACAGACTGTTGCTGAGAATAGATGGTTTAATCGATGCAATTAAGCATAATTGAGAAACAAATAATAAATTTATTCTCCGTAAATGTTTTAATCGTATGAGATTTACTTACTTAATCTAATAGTTGGTTGGCTAAATTATTTCTCTTGGCCCGAGCTCTTGACAAGATTTGTGATTCGGTGACTGGATTAAAATCTAATGTCTCATCTCCAAATATATTATGATTTTCCAAATCGCCATCCCACAAGTCATTACAGTCAATACAGAGATTGTACAACATACGTCTATGATATCGACTGCAGTTTCAAGATTATCTACGTCCATCGCTTGTTTCAGTATCCTCCATCTGCTCTTCAGTTTTCCGAACGCTCGTTCAACGGTCATTCGTGCTGATAAAAGAGACTTATTATATATTTTTTGTGCCTGCGTCAACCTACCTCCGGCGGTTTCTTTATATGGCGTGAGGAGCCAAGGCATAAGAGGAAAGGTTGAATCGCCCAGAATGTGCGTATCATTAGGAAAATATCTACCAGGATTCTAAGCAATAAATACTATATAAGTATATTTAAGGATAAACAATACGATAACTACTAACTTACATGGGATACGCCTCTCCAAAATGACGATTGCTTTAAAACTCTTGCATCATGCATACTGCCTGGTTGACCACTGTATATATATGTGAATCGTTCAGTATTATCCACGATCGCCATTAAGACAATACTGTGGAAATTTTTCCTGTTGATATAGCGGTTGTGATATACAGTCCGTGGTCGTTTGATTGGAATATGGGAACCGTCGACCGCACCTATTACATTAGGAAGTCTCTTTCTGAATTCAGCAGGTGCAAACCCTTCGATCACAGCGTCTAATTTATCTCCTGTCGGCCATGTTATAATAGGCTTTAGAGTATCGAGCACAGCATTTAAAAAGCGTCGCGTAAAATTGAAAATCGAACCTTGACTAACACCTAAGAATGTTTCTAACTGACGATAACCCATGGGATTAGCCAATCGATTGAGAACTACAGCTATTTGAAACTCCAACGGAGTCTGTCTATGATACGCAGACGGCTGATAATTATTATGTGAGGAAAGGGTTTCTATTAACCTATCGAAAGTTGACCTTTTGATACGAAATTGAGTTTTAAAATCATATTTCTGGTTGTCATCGCCAAGATAGGGAAATACTTCAGACCAAAATCCATTCGCCTTCGGTCTTGCAACTCTGGGATTTCTTACAATTTCATTTTCGTTCTGTAATTCTATTAGCATATTCAATTCTGTCAACAACTGTTTCATATTGGCATTCTGGCTAGATACAATCGAATTTGCGATTGTTGCTATCATAACCATAACAATAACTTTTTGCTCTGGTGCGAGTGGCATTGTGAATTATGTTTGTTCGTATTGACTAGTACGTAAAGGTAAAATGTAGACATTTGCGAACATTATCGAACAGACTTTAATATTACGTAAACCATAATATGCGAACAGAATTTAATAATATGTAATAGTAAACCATAACATCTGAGAAATGCATGGTAATTGCCTTATGGGTAGATGGGCAGAACGATTCCATCATGATCGAACATTTTGTCATCAGAATTGAAATCATCAACATTTGAGAAAAGCATGGCATTTACCTTATGGATAGAACTTTCATATGTCATTACATATTGTGATGATTCGCAGAATAAACTTCGTCTGATTGGTAAATATGATGTGTACTACAGAATGTGATTAAATTATTTTATTACCTTTTTTGTCATGTAACTATTGAGCACTATCTAGACAATGATAAACCGATTTCTAAAATCGATTG